CGGTAATGGGATTCACCAAATCAATTGTCATTTGTTCTATCCTAGATGCGGAGTTATGGGGGACCTTCGAAGGACTCAAACTGGCTTGGGAAATGAGCGCTGCAGAGGTGATTGTAGAGTCGGATAACAGCAAAGCAATAACAGCAAAGCAATAACAGCGTTGAAAGGGGAAGGAAATACGTGGAGTGGCTCGTCGTTAATACCACATAATGAATTTGATCAGGACAGACTGGAGAATAGTTCTCACCCATATTCCCCGCAGGTGCAATAACGTAGCTGATTGGATGGCAAAGCTGACTCAGGGGACTGACATTGGTCTAAGCTATTTTCAACATCCACCGAATGAAGTCACTGAAGCTTACAACCTGGAGGCTGATGTGTACAGGCAAAGTACTGGGTAGTTTATTTTAGTTTTGATTCGTTTCCTTTCATTAAAAAAAAGCAAAGATCTTCGCATGGTATAAATTAGATGTATTCAATGGTGCTGAAAATAAGGCTCTGATTGTACCTGATGCGGTGAATAGGACCCCGCCACCCCCAGCATGTCCTCCCTTGACCACGTTGTTCATACAAAACCAAATCAGCTTCTAGAGGAGACCAACATGTAATACCTTGTGAACTTTCTGTAAAACTCTCCTTAGAATTCTCACACCACTAATCCGTATTGAACATTAAATCGTCCTTTAAAGATTTTAACCAAACCAAGGTTCTGAGCTTAGAATAAAACACAAGATCTTTAATGGTGGTTTATTTCCCATTAAACACCATATCTTTACGAGCCAATCAAATACTCCACAACGCTGCCGCAACTGAGGCAAGCCATATCCCACGCAATTTTCCATCGAACTAAATGGATAAACAAAACTTCGTAGGCTCGATACATCACACACTATCTCCCAATTAATCCTCCACCATTTACCAAATAAACGCCAAAAGCAACCCATGACTCTGCACTCCACAAAAAGATTATTAACATTCTCATAACCCTATCCACACCAACAGCAATCAGCCCCCTCCAACTCCACGCCTCTAATCCTAAGAAAATCCTTTATGGGAATTCTATTAAATTTTAACATCCAAAGAAATTTTTTCTACCTTCGGAGGTACTTTCAACGTCCACATGCTATTAAAATTGAAATTTGTACCATCAATATCCGCCTCCACAATAAGTTGAGATATATTTTCCATTGAAAACGTACATGTTTTATCATGAATCCACAATAATCTATCTGGAGTATCCGAGTTTATCTTTACCCCTTGAATTCGACTTTGAAGATATTCCACCATTAATTTTTTCCATGTCCAAAAGGCTTCTTGTGAAAATTTTGCCCCATTCTATATTTCCTAGCCCCCCCTATCTTTTACAATCGCAGCAACAACAGACCTTTTGTTAACAGCCAGTTTATATATCCTTGTATAATCACATCGCAGCGGTTTGTCGCCACACCAAGTTTCCACCCAAAATAATACAAGTTTTTCATCCCCTACAAGCCATCAAAAAGAGTCATTTTCCATCTATTTACTCACATTTTTCTTCTTCCGGTTTCTTACAATACCTTGCCAAATTGTAGGCGTTTTCTTTGAGTTGGAAACGTCCATAACGTCAAACTGAATAGAGCTTCCATACTTAGCTTTGATTACTTGTCCCCATAGTGCCTTCCTATCTGTAGCGAATCGCCATCCCCACTTTGCCAAAAGGTTGCAATTCTTGGCATGCATGTTTATAACACCTGCTCCTCCTTTTTGACGAGATAAACATACTTTATTCCAACTTACTCGGGCCGTCCCCTCCTTATAGTTTCGATTTGTTAGATCACAGTTATTGAAATTTCAAATAGGGGCACGTAATATAATGGCAACGCTGACAACACTGCGTTAATTAAAACAACTCTACCAGCAAACGAGAGTGATCTACTTTTCCATCCAGCTAGTTTGGCACGAAACTTCTCAATAACCGGAGCCCGCGTCAACACCCTCCGCGGATCTGCTCCCAGTGGAGTCCCCAGGTAAACAAACGGTAAAGCTCCTACCTTATATCCACAGCACATAGCCAACTTTCTCACCGTATCATCTTCTAAAATTCCCAATATACATGATTTGCTGAAATTTATACTTAAACCGGAGCAAACTTCAAAGCACCTCAAAATTCGCTTCACGTTATTTAAAAATTCCTCTTCCGGTCTAACAAATAATATTGTGTCGTCATGACATCGCTAATATCGGTTATATCCCCACTGCATTCGGCTCGATTGAGTAAGAGATGCAAGGCTTCTGTAATCATTATAAATAAGAATGGTGAAAGCGGATCCCTTTGACGTAATCCTCTACCCATTCGAAACTCTTTTGATGGTGCGCCGTTAACTAATACCGAAACTTTAGCCGATGATATACACTCCCAAATCCAATTTCTCTGATTTAACCCGAAACCCATCTTCTCTAGAACCATAATCAGAAACTCCCACCTCACACAATCATATGCTTTCGAAAAATTCAATTTTGAAACTACTCCTCCAACTTTGCTTCCACCATTTACCATTGTATGGATTATTTCGTTTGCAACAAGAATTCCATCGAAAGTATGTCTGCCCCTTGGAAGGCACACTGAGTGTCACTTATAAGATTGTCTTTTCAATTGAATAATTTTTTTTTATAATTCTTAAATTCATTAAAGTTATCAAATATAATATTTTCAATGAATTTCTCATTTAAGTATCAACTACAATTTTTTTTGAAAATCTCACATAACAAATTATAATCGTCAAAATTTTCACACCATATAATACGCCTATTACACTCAATGATAAAACCACTAAGATACAAGGACAATTTTTATTAACATATTCATATTTTATTTGTATCATGCTTTCTTTAATGCATGAAATAGGGAGTGGTAGCCGATGCTTGTGGAGGAGGAAACAACATGAAATCTTCTTTTGCATGAATTAATTGAGACGTTTTTTTTTCAATAACGTCACTATCTGACATGAAGGAGGAAACAATATATGCATTATCTAAAACTGTTAAATCCTACAAAACATAAAACTTGACATCCTTTCTCTATTATTTCATCATAACGAGAGAACCATTGAAAATTTTCATAACTCTACATTGACTAAAGTATATGTACCCTTTTGGATCTAGAGTACCAAACAAAATCATATTTCTTTTTGAATTTAGACCATGTCTCACGTCACCAAGTGATTGAACAATTCAATCGAATATCTTAATCTTAATTGTGTCAGTACATGTAACTTTACAAGAGGTATTATCCCTAGAAAAACATTACCTATAGACATAATTGTATACATCGCAAACCAAACTTGATTGGGACATACATAAAAATTGCTACAATAGTCAATAATCTACTCCTCACCATGTCAACTTCCCCAGATTTTTCTGGTTGTTTTCCAGTGTGGTCTACAATATCATTTTAATTTCTATTTTGTAACGTGTAGCACCCAGACTTAATGTTCTTCCTTTTTTTTTACAATAATGTGTTTTTTTCTTCGTTTTTGGGTTTGACCTAATTTTGATGTTACAGCCAAAACTACTTTCTTGAGTCTTTTTACAAACAACTAGTCTAATTCTTAAGGCTCAAATCTATTCGTGATATGTTTCATCTTATTATAAGAAGCTAAAAAAGCACAAACTTCATCAACTGTGAGAGATACATGACTAAATAAAATTGTATTTGTACATGTTGAATAAGAAAAGGTTAACAAAAAAGCAAAATTAACCTTAAATCTTCTTTATCATACTTAACCTTCATGATTTCTAAATTGGAAATAACTTTTTAAAATATGATTAGGTGTTCTACCAAAGACATATGTTCTGCCAAACGATGAGAATAAAGATGTTATTTCAAATGTAACTTAGTTAAGGTTTTTTTTTACATGAATTGTTGCTCCAACTTCAACCATAATACAACGACATTATTTTCCTTCGACACGACCTATAGAATTTTATTCAACATATGTAAATGTATTTGTGATAGGGTCTTTCTATCTTTATTTGGATAGTAACTAAATAATTCATATGATATAGTTTGAGACAAAACATTACGTGATCACATATCGGTGGTCTGATAAGTAAGTCATCATCAGACATGCAGACTTCAACTTTATTAGAATATAGATGTAAAATTTTATCACATAAACTAATAATTATCCATGTTAATTATGAATTGAATAAAAAGATTGCATAAGTTATTTTCTCACATTCATCGCCCAACATTAAGATTTTATAATTTCAAGAAACACATCCAAATAAGGAGTAAACTAACCTTAATTCTCAAGAAAACAAGCCATGGATGAATTTGCATCCTTTTTAAACCAACCCAAAATCAAATTAAATAAATCCCATATTACACATAACAACAAGATAATCTAAAATGAAGTTAAAATGCAAATGAGATCATTGTCTGTGTGTTTCTTTTCACTCAAGTCAAACTCTCATGAACCCCGAATTCAACATAATGTTGTCTCTTTCTTTATTACTTTATTTTATTTGGTGCCTTTATTATAAAGTTATTAGAGAAATTTGAAATATAACTCTTTTTCTTTTTATTCAAATCTTCAATTATATTTTCAATAAGAGTTAATTTGATTTGTGCATCTATTACTCATTAATTGTTCTTAAAACTTTGAGATGAGATGAATAAAAATATCTTTATTTTTCCATAAGTACTCTTGATCTTTACAAATGCTCAAGAAAAGTCATTCTTTTAATTTGAGAAAATGTGGCTGAAGAAATAAAGAAGAGAAGATGAAGGTTTAAGTAATAGAAAATGATAAATGAAAGGATTTTATACCCTTTAAAACTCAAAACGGGCTGGGTCTCAAAAATGGGCCTAATTCACAAAACTTGGAATCCATTTGAATTTTGAGTCCTTGTTTATCTAAGTGTGCGATACCGGTCGGTCCAGTTTAATCAGGACAAAATTTTGTAGAATCAAGAGTACAACAAAAAAAAATTTTGCAAATTGCAAAACGACAAAAGGAATAAACACTTTCCTCAATCTTATCAAATGAATATCCGCAACTGCTGCGAACAAAGAGTTGTAACTTACATCATGATGAACTCGGTGACTAATGTCTGACAAAAATGTGATTCAAGGGAAGAATCACAGTAAAAAGAATGTATAGAAGCACCATTGGGAGCATGTAGGGATACTAAATCATCATTTTATTCGTCTTCCTCCGTTCTGATTTATTTTGGTTCAGAGGGGGGGGGAGGATGGTGGCAGTTGTGGCGGTTTCATATTTCCTTTCTATATCAGAAATAATGCCTCCAAATATTCATCGAGGTAAGCTAAGCAGGGCCAGTGATCAGTTCTGATCTGAACTAAAGTTGAAACATCACTTACTTGTATTTGGAGGAGGATGTGGAACATAGGGGGAAGGAAGATCAATACATCAATGCAACCCATACTTCTTTTGCTGATACCTAACTGACTTTCGTTCTCATCTTCATTTTCGGTGAATGTAAGCTGGAGGGGCATTCTGTTTAGTTCAGAACCAGAGGCATTGGAATCAAGTAAAAGACCAAATGCCTCATCTTTCCAGACAATGTCCCTGATAATTCCTCTGTACTTAACCATGTCGACGAGATGCTCACCAGTCACGCCTACTACAAATGGGGACAGATAATGCTCAGTAGCATGAACTACAGAGTCTGCAGGAATATCAAGCAGCTTCACGGATCTGGTTCCGTTTATTGCTGCTGCGCCCTTGCCTCCCTTTAGGAGGAAAGCCTCCCTCCCAGTGTTGGAAGTAGAGCTGCATGCATCCCACAAAGCATTGAACAAGTCCAAGTAATAATCAGGTAACGAATCCTCTGGGATGTCAGGTGGAGGAATAGCCTTGAGAAATAAGTCTTCTATGCCCACACTGATACTCTGCAGCTTGCCAGAGATGATCTGACCATCTTCCGCATTTGTTTCAATGAAAACATCAACCAGACCAGGTGTTGGCTCACGTGGTTCAAATTCAATTGCCACGAGAGCTTTATATATTTCTTCTTCACCAAAACCATCATATGTAGCATTGGTGTCTAGTGAAGCAGTTTCACCATGAACATAATCACTCACCGGAGGTTGACCAAGAAGAAAAGGTATATGACAAGTTCGAAAAGACTCATATGGAGCTGGTGATGAAAATTTCAACACTGTTGCACATAAGGCCGGAAGAGCTTCTACTCCATTTAACCTACTTTTTGGGGACTCACCTCCCCATACATGATTGAAAGTCTCGGAATCAAATCTCAAATAGCATGGAAGTTTAATCTTAACCCCTGCCATATGTCTAAAATCAGGAATGCATGAGAAATGTCTCCTTAATATCTCCAAAATCTCTGAGACTTTGGAATCCATAACATATAGAGGAACCCATGGTTTATCCACTCTCTCATCTCCTAATGTAATCTGAAATTGAATATTGGAATCAAGCTCTCTTTCATCTATTGAGGCTTCACTATCCCTGATGCCACCAAAACTTTTCGATTTGTTCCCAACCCCAAAAGGTAATAAAGACAAAGACCAAGACTGTTTGACAAGTAGCGGTATCATCCGCTCCAGATGGATATACGATGAGATATTCCCAGATTTCTTGGGATCCTGATATTTTCGGGGAGATTGCATGCTGAAGAATGATTCGGATTGAGATGAGGAGGAAATACCAAGGAGCTGCTCTCCAAGGTTCAGCATGCCTCTAAGCTTTACTCCAGGCACGCAAATCATCATCCTCAAGTAGCTCCTGTAAAATGACATAAAATAATCAATCTCTTCCAAATATTCCTTATTGACTATGTTCTTCTTGCTAGGTTGACAAGAAACCGCTGCTGATGTTAAGATGAACGGAAAAGTGTAAAGGAAAAACAGTGCCTTCCCTTCAGCATACCTTGCATGGTCACGAACCTCCAAATCAGGGAAGTAAAGACAGGTGAACGCAAGGAGACGAGATATTCCAAGGAATAATCTAGAGCTCTGATGGTGAGTCAACATGGTTCTACAAATGTCAAGAACCTTAGTACCATGAGACCAAGACTTCTTCCCACAAGTATCCGAGCCATGTTTCTCAACAAGGAAAGCCATGAACGAACTTAGCAGCTCTAACAATTTACGAGGAGGTATTGTTTGATTTTCAGCAAATCTGTTAAATAGTAGGAAGTATGAGACTATTCTATAATCAATTACGACTCTTGGATGAAGATTTTCATCCATTGTTTGGAGCAGGCGCTCTCCCAACCAATGATGCTTGTCGCAGCCTAACAAACGGTCAACAAAGGCAACAATGACTGGGACCAATCTCTGAAACTCTAGTATCATATCAATCAGCATCCCCTTAACAAAAGAAGTAGCAAAACATCAGCATAGAAGTATTTTTATGTTTTATTTAATTTTTGGCAGTTAGGACTTAGGAGCAGATAAATCATAAACTTCAAATTCTCTACTTCTGCACAATCTTTCTGCACCGTTATACCATGCCATCAAAACAGTTATACAATCTACAAGATAATCTATTTCTGAGAAAATTTATGCCTAATGGACACTCCATGTGCTAAGTAGATGTTAATAGGGCTTGTGAAGGCGACAAAAGAATTATACAAGCTTGCTACGAGCTATGAGGTCAAATTTGGAATTATGTACAACTGCCGCCCTAAAACATGTGGCAAAAGGACGGGACGGATTTAAATTCATGAAGACATGCTTTGGGCTTGCGTGATTGATCTAAAAGGTAATTGGGTCTCTTGATGATTACTTACACTTGGCAGAGTTTGCTTATAATAACAGTTATTAATTTAAAATTGTAATGCCTCCTCTTGAAGCCTTTTATAGAAGGAAATGTAGATCCCTTTATGCCGGGATGGTGTAGCTTGAACTATAGACATTATAGAAAAAAAATGTGCAGCCAGGCTGCCAGAATTAGTCATTTAGGCTACCATGTGTCAGCTTCACTATATTTTTTTTACTGTAAATAGTCTAAATGAGTTGTTTAAGTTCTGATATATTTAAATCCCCAAGGATAAGTTAGCAACTTCAGGTGAGAACTAAGTTTCCAGATTGAAGGAAGGTAAGTATAATCTCACCCTCACACACTTCATCTGTTTCACTAAATAAGCTAACTATTTTATTTCTATATATCCTCTACATAAAAGTTGGATTGTGCATATGATTATTTATTGGTTTCAGCTTACTAATATAATGAATTGAGTTTATGAGCGAGATAAAAAAAAATTGTGTTATGTTCCAAAGAATATTCCACGAAAACAATGAGATGAGAGAATATTGATATCAGGACTAATTTTGTCCTATTAACGGGATATAGTAGTTAGCATACAACCCCACCACTTTATACAGAAATTTTAGTAAGATTTCATTGTTCAAAGACTTCTAGGCTTTGTATTATTTTGAAGCATAGCTCAAGGTAATAAGGCTTCTTTAAAGGTAATATGATTGTGTCATGTCCGGAAATGGAGTCTGAACTACAGTTGCACTCAACCTCCAATTTTGGGGTAAGTTTTACTAAAGAAATACATGCAACAACTATGTAAGTAGAAACCAACCAAATTGATATAAATCTTTATCATCTCTAGAAGGACTAACTTGTAATTTTTGCACATATCAATTATTATTACTTTTGCAGGAAAAGCATAACCAGAATGTTTAGGTTTAGGAGGAAGACCAAAGAAGGGTGATATAAAGAAAAATAAATACCTTTAAATGACTGTAGAAGGTAGATTCCATAAGTTCATTAGTTGTGGAAGGATCGGCTTCAGAATGAGATGATGCGCCTATCAATAACTTATGTAACGTGCGGAATGCCACTGCAGTCTCTGTGCTCCAATGAGGCAACCATTTGAAAGCTGAAACAGATATAAGACCATTTTGAAATAGCTTCACCACTGACTTCCCATCCCCAACAACCATATCTGAACCACTTTGAGCGTTCAATGCATCAATAAAAATGGAACAAAAAGCAAGAAAATCAAGCTTTATTGCTTTCAATGAAAGTGGATCAAACAAATGAGGATAAAACATGAAACCCATCTTTATAATTGACTTCTTCTTCTCCATATCTCCATTCACCATAAATCTATTCAGAAAACCCATCAACCAATGCACTGAAAGCAAGCGAAACACCAAATGCTGATGCATTTCCAATGAAACAAACAAAAGCCTTCTCATAATCTCTTTCTCCTTCTCATTAAACGCCTCCGAAAACCGCGAATACATAATCAAAACAACATGACATAATACAGGATGAAAGGAGTTAATCAAACCGAAAAACTGAATTTTCAGCATAGATGGCTGCAAATCCAAAGATACTGCTAGCGGCATTACCATTCGCAGAAAAACCATCATCCCACAAGGAGTTAAAACCCGCGGCCATTCCAATAGAAACGCCATGGCTCTTCTCAATTCCTTATAATTCAACCCAAATCCAACCCCTGACCCTTCCTTTTCTGGTCCTAAAATCCATTGCGGAAATTTAAATGGGATTAGAGGAACAGAGGTATTCAAAATAGAAATACTCAACTTTCGACTCACAAGACTATAAAGTACTGTTGTAAGCAACAAAATGTAACTCTGCGACGCGTGAGTTCGCTCGCTTTGGCATAAACTCCATATATGGCCAGCAATTTCGGAAAGTAAACAAGGGTAAGCTTTTTCCAGTTCACGTAAACACTCACATGAAATGGCGCGTGCGTGGCGGTCCAATCCATGGTTCGGGCGGTTGATAACCGCCAGTAAAAGCTCGACCATGGCTTCCGTACAACGAAGCTCGACGGTTTCGATGGAATTCGTCGAAATCAATATCGAAGTCGTCGAAACCATCATTTGTTCTTTCAAAGCGTAGGATATGTGGACGCCATCAATCGGGGATTGAACGATGGTCCGAAGGGCTTCAACGAGACGGTCCAAAAGGGAAGAGAGGGAATTCGAGGGGAACAAAAGATGGGAAAATTCGTCGAGGAAAATCACGAGTGGGATTTTGAAAGGGAATTCCTTTCTGAGAGTGGAAGAAAGTGCGAGTTCAACGAGAGATGGGTAAAGGCAACTCCATTTCTCTCGACGAGCACCGCCGTGTCGGAAGTCTTCCACTAAGGATTCCCAGTCTTGAGGTGAAACTGGTTTTGGAGGTGGCTTTTCAGCCATTTTCGAACTCGGAGTTGAAATTCTAGATTGGGTTTAAGTTGAAAAATCGAAAAGATTTGACATAGTTCTATTTTCATTGATCACAGGTGAAATTTCAAACAGATACATGCAAATATGAAATACCCAGAGAGAATAGGCGCTCAAGGAAGAGTTCGGCTGACAGTGGAAAATCGGATCGGATGCCTGCCAACCCGACTTGATTTGTTATTTTGCAACACACAACAATAAACTTATCATATCAAGCCCATTATCTTATTAATTAAGGTCCATTAGCCTGGAGTATAATTCAAAGCTCGGGTCTTGAATAAATTTTTTTCAAAAAAAAAATATTTGATTACTAAAAGTTCTATTTTTATGGTATAATAATGGATACAAAACAATTAACTAATTGTGATTAGGGTTTTTAGTTCTTTCTCTCTTTTTCTTTTGTTTTCGTTAATTTTTTTATTTTTGTAATCAACGAGGACATTAGTTTTAGTATTAATTATCGATTACTGATATTTATTGTTTTTCTTTATTTTATTCTATTGTATCTTTATTTTTTTCTAATTTTTAATAACTCTGTATTTATGAAACATTTTCATCTACCTTTATGGCATGTTTTCATTCATTTAGTCGTTATTTTCGTTTATCATTTTTCTCAGGGCTGGATTTGACATCGCTACTACTGATCAAGATGGTGTTTGTTTGTTATCATGTTGATCTTCCATACTTTGGACCATCGGATTGGATTTAGATACACGATTTTCATTATTCTTGTGATATATATATTATATATGTACAAATCTCTTGAGCAAGGAATACCTATTTGAATTATTCATAATTCATATGATTACTCGTATGGAACTTTACAAAGTCTTCCTTTTAAAGATCCAAGAAATTTTCATTCGAGATTTTTTAATTTCATACTTTTTCATTTTTTTCATTTTTAATTGATATAGACCCAAGTCATCTAGTATTACGAGGATAATGTGTCGATAATGGTCGGGATAGCTTAGTTGGTAGAGTAGATGACTGAAAATCTTCTCATGTCGCTCGATTTTGATTTGAGGGTTGTCGATTACCTTTCTATAGTTTGATCTTACTTTGTGGTTAATTTTGCCGATGCGGTCAGATATGTTCGTATCTACCTTTTATTTAAGTTTATTTGGTTAGATTTTTTAACATTTTTCTTATATGGTCATTGTGTGATCTTAAGTGATTAGTTTCTTGTATTAATAATTATAGTGGAATGTTCTTAGTATGTGTTTAGTTTACAATCGTGGTTGTAAACCTTCATTGTATTTTGAATATTTTTCTATTTTTAATAAAATTAGTTGATTCTATATTATTAAAAATATATAATCGTGGATGTAAATAAGATTAAATATGTTAACAGTGTAACATTTTAAAATTTAAAATTTAGTCTCTATATTATACTCTTGTGATATTTAGGGGTTGTTTGTTTGGCTCTGAATGGAATCATTCAGCGTTAAATACTGAACCGTTTAGCATTCAACGTGTTTGTTTCTCACCTCTGAATAATTCAGTGCTGACTGATTCAGCAAAATAGTGATGAATGATTCAGCATCAAAGTACATTCTGAATGATTCAGAGCCGTTATCAAACAACATGTTACATTCAGAGTTAATTCATACAGAGCCTCTGAATCATTCAATATTTGAATTATTCAGCGCTTAATCATTCTGAAGTAAACAAACAGCCCCTTAGTGTATGTATTATTTTTAGTTCAATTTTTTATATATATCTTCTAACTTCTGTTAATTTTAGCATTAATTATTGGCCCAACAGCTATAGAAAGGTCAAATAACTTTTTTCTCTTATATTTATATTTTTATCAATTTGATCCTTAATCTTTAAGAACAAATAAATTAAACAATATAATTTTTGGATTAAGGGTTATTTTTGTCTCTGTAGTAGACTCAATTTATCATTTTCACGCCTATGGTATTTTCGTATCAATTTAGCCCTCGAAGTTGCTTAGGATCATCATCCTAGCCTTCGAAGCCCGTTTTGACTAACAGAAACGTTAGTCTTTTGCATCTGTAGACGCCAACAATTTACAAGTCAGTCAATATTCCTAACGTGACTTGATGATGACATGATATTTATTAAAAAATAATAAAATATTTAAAATATTTACTAAATACAACGGTTAGAAAAAAAATCCTCAAAATTTTAACCTAATCTCTTAATCTCACTAAAATAAATAATAAAATTTTGAGAATTTTTTCTAACCGTTGTGTTTAGTAAATATTTTAATATAATCCTTTAATCCACGTTCGCATAAGACTAATAGTTTTGTTAGTCAAAACAGTCAACAGACTTCGGGGGTTAGGATAATGTCCCTAAACATCTTTATGGGCTAAATTGATGTGGAACTACCATAGAAGCGAAACTTTATAAATTATATCTACTATAGAGGCAAAAGTAACCCTTAAGCCATAATTTATCAATCATCCACGTTTATGTTTTATGGGCCAAATTGATAAAAGAAATCTTAACTTGAAGGATTAAAAAAAAGTTATTTTCCATTTTTAAAACAATTAGATCAATATTTCACGGGGAAATTGAATATAAGTTAGTGGAGAATCAATATTTTCAAATAAAAATAATAATATATGAGGTCAATGTCATAAAAATAAAGTATGGGAAGTGAATTTGAAAATTTGAAATAGTACAAGGGCCTTTGATATATTTAAACTAAGCAGATAAATATAGTCATAAAAATTATTTTTGTTCATTGATTAATTATTAATTCAATTGGTATCATTGCTATTGCAATATCTTGAAGGTCGTGAAAATGTTCATGTTTAAGTATGGATTGCAATTTAATTCGAAATTAATGGATTTCGATTCAATGTTATAGGGTTTATTTTTTCAATAAAAAATTAAATTTGAATCGGATCAAAATTTATACAAGATGAGATCAGGTCGGGTGAAAAATCTTTCACCCAAATCGATTTGAGAGTAACAATATATTTTTTCTATAAATCTAGGAATAATTTCTATAATACTCATCTCTATAGTTTTTTTTAAATTAGGTCTCTATTTTATGTTGGGTTGGATTGGATCAGTTCAGATTTATTCCTAAAAAATTCGGGTTGGATCGGTTTTGGTAGAAGAAATATATTCTTCAGGTCGGATCCGGATAGGGGGAATATGTTCTTTGGATCGAGTCGAGTGAATGGTGAAGGGTATATATTTTCTTGGTCAAGTTGACAAAAAATCCGACTTAACCCGACATATTGCCGTCTCAACGTTTAAGCTTGAAATATCCTTTGATTAAGAGGTTTTGTGAGATTATAGATAATTTAGACGTTGTATCATAAAAATATTTTCTCAATTATAACCAAAATAATTTATTTAATATTTATAATCGAACATGAATTTGCTTTTATTTGTAAATGTTAAGGTTTGTAATCTAAATTTTATTTAGTTATATCTGAAGAAGTTCATAATATGACTCATTTAGTGAAGAAATCAATTGAAAAAAAGAAAAATGAGGATATGTTTAGCTATTCGACAGTTATTCTTATACACAAATGCACTTCCTTATCGTATGGTTTAAAATTTAAACAAAGGTTATGTATACTTGTCATTTATCTTCTAAAAGTATTTTTTTTACTGAGGCCAATCAGTAAATTCATCGATCATATTGTTTAAAATCCAAACGATGACTATGCATACTTGCCACCTATGTTGCGCCTTTGTTTAAGTAACCCATGCCCTTGTTAACCCAAAGCGATGGCTTTCCAATTTTAAATAATAAAAGGAGTATATGCCTGTCAATTCCAAATAATATTATTAATTGAAAATTAGGCACCTCGATTTCCAAACGATAAATAAGTTTAATATAAAAATGGACCAATAATTATGCAAATTAGACATGGAATCGGTGGGCGTCCTATAAGATAAGAAGGTCCATTAACAAAGTGGAAGGTGTCCTTGTCCTACCCCCCACAACGTTGCTTTGCCTTTTTTCAAACTTTAATTTCTCAAGGCCAAGGGTTCATTCTAGGCGTGTGGACAATTGCACGCCTGAATTTTCCACCAACTTTATTAGTTAGTATCCTTATTTTAAATATACTAAAAGTTCTCTAATTTTTTAAAAATATTTTTCCATAAATTAAAGCGTAATCCAATTGATTTATGTTATTAATCTAAGGGTAAACTACATGTTTAATACTCCAACTATTACTTTTGTTATGTTGATCATCCAACTACTTTTTGTTTCAAAATCATACCTAACGTTACGTTTTAATTTTATTTTGGTCACCAACCGTTAAAAAATTAATAGTGATTTTAATGTGTCACCGTAAGCTAATGCCACATCATCACTGATTTTTTTTAATACAACAACGGCAGTTCTATTAAGTTTTAAACGGTGGGTGACCAAAATGAAACCAAAATATGATGTTAGGTATGATTTTGAAGAAAAAAATTTTGAGTTACCAAAACAAAATAAAAGTGATAGTTAAGGTACTAAACATGTAGTTTATCCTTAATTTAATAAAAAAATGGCATCTTAAAAGTTTGGGTTCAATTTTTAATACCTATAATTTCTTTTACTTTCTTGAGATTGGACCTTTGGAAATTACATAAAGTTGTGATAATTTAGAAAATATAAAATACAAAGGAAAAGTTTGTGATTAAATTAGTTAAGTGAAAAGGGATATGTGGGTATTTTGCATTTATTAATTACTACTTACCAGAAGCTTAAGAAAACAGAAGAATAACCATATAATTGTTAATTGTTCTTTGTTGTTGACCTGTTTTAGGTCACGAGTCACGACCTTAATAATTAATCAATTTACTTGGTGTATGATTTCTCTACATTTTTTAAATCAATGTCAAAATTCCACTACAAATCGTGCTACTTTCAACAACGTAAGAAATGACGCTAAATAATTCTCATCTCAAACGAACTTCATTTTTATGTAAATGAGATTGTATAATTAAGTTTTATAATATTTGTACAAAGATAAACGAATCAATTTATCTCAATAGTTGAAGGAATCATTATCAATCCTAGAAATCACGGGTTACAATATCAACGATTACAAGGGTGACTAAGTATTTATTGTCAAATAATTTAGAGCACTTAGAAGATATACTATTTTGTAATCATCTTTAGCTTAATCAAAAAATGAAATGATATATATATATATATATATATATATATATATATATATATATATATATATATATATATATATATATATATATATATATATGTTTGAATCCTTGTGATTTTATGTTGTTTTATTATGATCGTGTATATTAGAAAAGGTAGCATGATTGGACTGAATTTGTACCTCGGCCAATCTCTTTTCAAAGATTAGTGAGTTAAGTATGGACAGACACAATATTTTATATTAAGGGATGAAAAATAACTCCGAAAGGACATACTTGACCAATTATCAAAAAAATGCATATGATTGAATTGAAAGGAATTACTGAAATGTCCTCGAGATTCATAATAATTATAATAACCTCCAATGATCAAAGGAACAAATAACATGAACTCTAAAGGAATTATAATACTTGAAGCCTAATATATCAGAAGTAATGCCACTGACAGAATTGAGTGGATTGACAATGATACGCTTAAAGTGTAAAAAGCACAATGGATAACTATGATAATGATGACGACATGATAACTCATATCTTGATCCACTTGAACTTAAAATCATTTATTTAAATTCTGAATCTATATTAGAATGCCCCTGAAGTGTAAAATGACCCAAAGAACGTCTAAGCACTGTAATAACTAAATACTCTCCAGCTCTGAAATAACTAAATACTCTCCAGCTCTGAAATGAATAAATTAACCTCGAATACCAAATGACCTAGAATTTCTATTTTCTGAGAAAACACCTAGAGACTGAATTATCGAATGTACTTTACACATCAGAATTTCTTGAAACGACTAAATTATATGACCAAGTTGAACTGAATGGAAGAATTATATATATATATATATATATATATATATATATATATCCAAATTTCGAAAATGATTGAATTACTATGGAAACTCTGATGTGATCGGGATAGACTTAACTACTAAATGACCTTAGCACCTTCAAAGACCTAGAATTAAGTGAATGACTCAGACAAGTTTGGAAAAGCTGATGAACTTATATGTTGTACTGCTCTCAAGGGTTTTAAACCCCGAATTAAGCACATCAACATTTATTGATATCGTTGCAATATAGAAAAGAAATAAATATCACTGAAATACATATTCATCTCCTCAAGAATTGATCAGGGATGATTATGATATTGATCAGATCAACTAGTGCAATCAGTAATAAGAAGTGAATAATAATGAAGTATCACAATCCGAATGATTGACAAGTATTGCAGTGTTGGGATAGTTGGTTCAATTGGACTCAAAATCCTGATAATTCAATATATAATCCTGAATACCCCTGATTGTTTGAGTAATGGAATCACTCTCAGTAAATCGTAATCTAGAATTATTCTGACGTAAAGGTTCCTGATGCACTTGAACCATAAAAAGGTCCTAAAGTATCAACTTTAAAAGTTTGATAGATCAATTAGTAATCGGTCCCTTTTAATAGGACCTCGATCTTGGAATCTGATCAAATTACATAAATTTCATATTTTCCATTTTTGAAAATTACCAAGTGCCTCTGAAAAATACTTGGATCCTCTAGTGTGTTCCCCATGTACTACATGACTTTCTTATATGTTTTGAAATATGTTTCACTGAAATTATTGATTTACTGGCTTATGAACCATGGCTACATGGTATGTGTTCTCTGATTACGATTTTCACTGAAAAATATGATTGTTCCTGATTTATGGAATCATAGAATTTACTGGTTTATGGACTATGGTTTCTTGTTTTTACTGGTTACTACTTGAACTATTTTATTGAAACATTTTTTAGGTAGGCTGGATAATAGAGGTTCAGCTCTGATCAAGCTAATAAATCCTTACGGACCTAAGCGACCCTTGGGTAAACTCTGAGGCCCCGAGAACTTTCTTGGGTAGGTTCTCAGTCCCCAAGAGGCTTCTTTAGGTTGGAGGGCAGTTATATGGTTTATTTCATTGTCACATTTGCGAGATTTTACTAGATCACGAACCAAATATTAATATTTACTGTTAAAATTGATTTCTATTTGATTCTATATGGGTAGCATTCTGGAGTATGGAGGTTCAGCTATGATCCAACTGGTAAATCCTTATGGACCTAAGGTGACCCTTGGGTACGCTTCGAGGCCCTGAGAAACTTTCTTGGGTAGGCTCTCGGGCCCCAAGGCATTCCCTTAGGGTGGCTCCATTTACTGTGTACTTAGGGTAAGCCCTTATGGATGCAATTCTGGGGAACTGCATAACGGTGTTCGGTTTGAGGGTTCTACTATGGTTTTGAAAATATGTTCTAAACTGTTACTGTTTTAAAAAGATCTATATCTTTTCATTGGTTTTGGGTTGGGACACACTAGACATCCTATTCTAATATCCTGAAAACACGGTACTCTGAATGTTTCCTATAAACTGAAATCTTCATAACTTTTACTCGACGGAAATTCCAGTGGAACCACAACTCATCCGGAAAACCTGTAGACATCTAAATCAACAAAAAAATGTTATGTTTTTCCATTTATCTACATGTCCTTCAGCATCATATGGTAGTTTTATGTTACTGAGCTTCCCAAAGCTCATTCTTTTACTCCCATTTCAGGTTAAAAGAATCAAACCAGTATAGCTATCGACATCAGTAATGGAGATCCACCCGGTGTTGCTTGCAGAGTACGGTGCATGTGATTAGGGAGCATGTAGGTTGTATTTTATTTTATATACGATTCTGAAATCTGTTTTATTTTTGATTATTGGTAAATTTTGCTTTTGTATTTATAAATTGTTTTATGATTTTACATGTTTTAACAGAAATTTTTAATTTTTTCCAGGATTTTTACGGTGGGTCACTCCGGTTGCCCTAATGTGACACACCGGATCGAATAAGGTCACCCACAACGGTATGTGGGTGCTACAGTTTCATTTAATACCTAAACTTTCATTTACTTCAAAATCATACATAATATTTACTTTTTGTTTCATTTTAGTACATGACGTTAAAATCTTAACGGAATTGTTTTACGTAACATTTTTATGGGTAAATTAGATCATTCATCACTTAACTATCTTCTCACTCCTATTTTGGCCACTAAAGTTTAAAAATTTTCAATTTAACTACTCAACTTTCAAATTGCTCATGTTTTAATCACTCTAATTTATTTTATTAATATTTTTTTGACGTGACATTTTTGTTATTATTTTATTAAAATATAATTAAAATAAAAAACAAATTTGAAAATTATAGTGATTAAATTAGGACTAATTTGAAAGTAAAGTAATTAAATTAAAAAAAATTAAACTTCAATGACCAAAATAGGATTGAGAAGATAGTTGAGTGATGAATGATGTAATTTACCCATAAAAAAGGGTCATGTTGTAATAGTTCCACTAAGTTTTTTACTGCAAGGTACCAAAATGAAGCAAAAAGTAAACATTAGATATGATTTTGAAACAAATGAAAGTTTAGGTATTAAAATAAAACAAAACTAATAGTTTAAGTACTAAACGTGTAGTTTACCCTAATAATAATAAGTCTCAACTATAAAAAAAAAATGTATTTTTTTTCCTATTTAGGTGTTTAATTTTTTTTTCCGGTTAATGTAGATACCTACTGTTACAAACGTTATCATTTTAAGTGTCTCGGTCGTAACAAACATTACAAAAATCCGTTAATTGATATACGTCACACTTACATTTTTTTGAATTTCTTTTTGAAATCTTTTTTAAAAAAATCCCCCCTCTTCCCCGCCGTTTGTCCCCCTCTCTCTAACGCATTCACAATACAAATCTTCTCTCCTCCTCCCCTCCCTCCCTCCCTCCCTCCCTCCCTCCCCTGCTCTCTCCCTCCTAGTATGAAGAATCAGGTGGGATGTGGGATTAATGTAGTCATAAACCGTCCAACATTTGAAATCCAATTTTAAGAGGAAAATCAATGTAGTCACGTCTGATTAATAATGTATTTCACCTAGATTATTACGTATGATAAAGACGCGTTTAACAAAACACGCTTATATCCTATGTAATTGAAATATATATCACTTCTGTAAATAATTATTTTATGTGTCATTTCCTTAATGAATTACATAAAGGGTTTTTTTTAGGTAAACTGCCAAAATTATGTATTAAGCCTAATGCTAAGAATAAGTCATTGCTTTTTCGATAATCAAGTAGGAGAGATCCAAGAAAGAGAAGCTAATCGAAACTAAACCTTGCATATATAATTTTGCATCGTTTTCATGTATTTTTGTTGTCTAGTAATTATTTTATAAGTATTTACTATAAAATTTTCTAAACAATCATTTATTCATATCAAAATTCTATAATTTCTTGTTCAAATTAGGTAGGGGAAAAGCAAAGTTCTTGAAGGGCACGAATGGATGAATTAATATATATAATAATTGTCCACGAACTTGATAGTGGAAAACTCACGCTGCATTGTTTATTGTCCCACCCCATACTATTGATCCTTCCATCTTATAACCTTATAAATCCCATTATCCCACACCACCAACGATCTACATATACCCTTCATATTTGCCAAAAATATATCTCACCCAAGCTACACATATGGCTGAGGACTGCACTGCCACCTCCCCTCCACTGCACAGTTGGTGGGATCTCCACCATGCAACCTCTCTTTCTCCATGGACTATTAACCCTAGCTCTTGGTACCATCACAATAATCATCATCAAAACCCTAATTCTCACTCTTCTAATTGTGATCAGGATGATGTGCTTTCAATCTCCACTTCCTTGACTAATGCTTCCAATCATTCTGTGTTAACTAGTGTCGACAAGTCGTCCGATGGCTGCCGTGGTACACGTCGGCTTGTTGAACAACCGACCGTTGATCCTCATCAGTCTAATGGGTTGATCAATGGAGAGCATGGTTCTGATAATCATCTTTGGAGCCATGTTTTATCGTAAGTAAATTGAATTTGTTTATGCTTTTATTCTTCGTGTTTTGTTTTACTTAATTGCATTAGATTTGTTTGACAGAAATGTAGGAAACAACGGTGCAGATGTAGGAGAGAATTTATTCGAGTCGATATCATCGAAGAGCAACTCATCGGCGGCCGGAATCTTTGAACCTGCAGCTTGTGACTACTTAAAGAAAATTGATGGCAATTGGGAAATCTCAAACTCGTCGGTTTTCAATAATTTTATCAAAAACATGAACGAAGGGTTCGATACAAGTAGCACCGATAACGATCAGCAAAGCTCGATTGAAAGAGAAAGGCTAACTAAGTTGTCCAACATGGTTAGCCACTGGTCCATTGCCCCACCGGACTCTCAAGTTAATCCCCCACAGTTTATTAATCCGAAATCAATGGAAAACTACTCACAATCACAGCAGCAGCAGCAGCCTGGTGCGTTTTGTGGAATGGAAACAGTGAAAACCCCAGTTTTTTTACCATGTTATCAGGATGTGAAAATGGAGAACCCAAGTGTTGATATGGAACCTCCGAGTTCCTATCTTCGAAGGCCTCTCAAGACGACTAACAATGGCGGCAATGGGTATCATCTTTATAACAGTCTTATTAACAATTCAATATCAATGGAAGCTAACTTTTATGGATCCATGTCTCCTTCTCCAACCACAAGTAACATTACTTATGGCAGACTAAACAAGCCTTTGATTGACATCCATGCATCATCAAAGCCCCGTTTTAGGCCCTTGAATTTATCAGATTGCAAGAAGCAAGGGCTCCAAGCTGCAAATTCTCTGCAGGTAACTAAGCATTTAAATTTAATCATATCTATGACTGTCAACCTTAATTTATCCTTTCATATTACCATTTATTTATTTATTCTGCGAAAAATTTCATATAAATAAATGCAGACAAGAACTAGCAATGGACGAACACAAGGAATTGCAAACGAAGGAAAGAAGAAAAGAGGTGAAGAAACATCTGACAGTACCACAGTGTTGAAAAAGCCTAAGCATGAAAATTCCTCAGCTTCATCAGTAAAGGTACGTAAATTATATATATATATATATATATATACACGCGCACACAAACACACAAATGACAAGATTGTGTAAAACTTTTTATATACAAATCTACCGTATCTCATTATCATTTGAAATACCAAATCTGGATAACGTTGCTTATGATTACGGGTGAGAAATTGACTGGAATAATTTTATATAGATGCACGCCCCAAAAGTGAAGCTGGGAGACAAGATAACAGCACTTCAACAAATTGTGTCGCCATTTGGAAAGGTAGCACTAAGAACAAGCTTGTTTTCTAGCGAGCCTGACGTCCAATTGCATCTTCTATTATTATCACCAACAGTCTATAATCTGACTTAACTTGATCCAATGAGTTGCAGACTGATACGGCCTCAGTTTTACTAGAAGCAATTGGATACATCAACTTCCTACAAGAACAAGTGCAGGTCAAAATCTCTCCTACAACAAGTTTACACTTTTCATCAACATTATTATACACGTTTACTAGATGCTAATTAGCTTTACTTTGTTTGCATTGTTTTTCAGTTGCTGAGTAATCCTTACATGAAACCCAACTCTCTCAAGGTAAATTATCAAGCAAAGCTTGTATATTTATTGCTTTCAACAGATATATATATGAAATTGAAGTTAATTTTGATTATGCTGGTGATGATGATATCTTAGGATCCATGGGATAGAAAATATCAGAAAGGAGATGGGAAGGATGATCTAAGGAGCAGAGGTTTATGTTTGGTTCCAATATCTTGTACCCCAAAAGTTTACCATGAAAACACTGGTTCAGATTACTGGAGCCCAACATATAGGGGTTGTTTGTATAGATGAAGAATTAAAGCTCATGCTTTGACATTTGTATACACATATATGATTATATGTATTACTTTTAAACAAAACAATGTGAAACATTAATTTCCTCTAAATCTGTATATATTTTTGCAGTAATTTTATTTTGCTTGCATAGATCAACCTAAGAGTAACAGTTTCAATGGTTATACAATATATATATTCAAACATATATATATATATATATATATATATATTCAAACATATAATGGGCATCACAAATATGTATTTTTTTAAAGGAGAAAAATATAATCATATAAGAAGTCAGTAGATAATAAGATAATTAACACTTGGAAGGAATATTACGATCCAAGTCATTGCACCCAATTTGATGTCCCTCAAATAACAATGAAACTAGAAAAAAATAGGATAAATGCTTGGTAACAAATACACTATTTTTTTTAAAGTTACAAACAATTTATTCATTTAAAATACTATTACAAAATTTATACGTTCTATCAATTTTGTCCTAATTTGAACCAATTCAATAAATTTAACCTTCATATATAAAAAATTTATCAATTTAATATTTTTTTACGATGTTTTCAAACCAAACAAGCTCATTGGATCAAAGCAGTAGTTGAATAACTGAATTATACCATAAACAACAACCGTTAAACTATTATTATACTAATAAAGTTACATGGAAGTAATAATATTTATGGGAGAAGAATAATTACTAAAATGATGATTTTTTTTAAAATATGAAGGGTTAAACTGATTGAATTATATTAGATTTAAACCAAATTAATAAAATATATAATTTTTAAAGACTAAAATTATTATTATATCATATAATGTCATTATCGTATACTTACTTAAGTTCTTCTATCAGTGGGATGGAAGTTATAATATCTTTTTCGGTGTAGGCCATAACCAATGAAAATGCATCTCATGGCACGAGGATCAGTTTGTGTACGAACATTGATCTTTTGGGACATGAACAGACACACATAGTGGCATCATCAAGATTGAGGAAAGAGTTACAAAATGAGATCATGTTTGAAGAGGAGTATGCATTTCAACAACTTTTGTTGGCGTCCTGTTGATACCATAAACTACATGCATAATTACATATCCCCAGGAATATTAGCCCTCATAAGAAGAGCTTTAGCAATCTCAAGTATGTATTTTTTATCTGTATCATTATGCTTTTTACTTGACTGCAATTTGTGCCACCATTTACGATATCCATGGATTTTAAAACAGGTCTACTAAGTATCTAGTTCCTTCATAATGACAGCATTTCAGTTCAACATATTCATTCTTTTTCAACGAAGAATGTGATTTTCCATTGAGAGAGGATTGTTGAAGGAGGTACAGTCCTCGGGCTTTTTGACGCAAAAACTTAACCTGATGGTTCTTCAGTGGAAGTTCCTACCATACTGATTGTGGTACCACTTCTCGTTGAACATGGGCATACCCATGCTCCAATGTGGAGAATGGTTGTATCTACAGAATATATCTATGAATGTTTTCTAGTCGATTATCGAAGCCTCATAGGAATATGTAACCTCAATCTTCTTGCAGCATCAGCGACGGATGCAAATGAGTTCCAGGGTGGGTATTTGTTTACTTTGAATCTGAATTTCTTTAAGTTAATCGTCCATCTTACTGGTGGTACCCACCCTACATGAAAATTTTATATTATTAGTCTATATATGTTCACCCTAAGAAATTATTTAGGATACGTCACTATATAACATATAACATTGAATACCAACTTGACACTATATTATATTTGGCCTTCAAGAGTCAATTTCTCTCAATAGACCTTGTAGATTGTTGTAGTATTTTTTCAATGAACCACCCGTTTGTTTCACCTGTGATACCTTAGTCGATGATCATACACTTGCTCTATATAGAATCAATGGCCTAAAGACGAGATTTTTCGTTCTCCAAAGACACTATATTTTATCTTTTGTTGGCTTTCCAAATATCTCAATCCAATGCTTCACGTCGTAGTTTCAACTCTTTCCTCACATTACATGTCTTTTACATGGATGCATGCATGCAAGCATGGTAATCTATTTCTTCACTTGCACGGTTACACTTGAACAATGCTGGACTAAAGCTTCATCACCTAATAAACTCTTTCTAATTGATAAATAAATCTTCTATTATTGATAAAAACTAGGTCAAAAATTGAAACCCAAGGCCAATGTTTAAAACAATTGGCTTATACCACATTTTTTTCAATTCCTTCCTGGTTTCAATTATCCTCGAACTACGACCTCCTGTGCATCTGGAAAAATAATTATAAAATGCCATGTCCAACAGAATCTTTATGCGGCTTTTCATGCAAAGGTGGAAACTTCAAAAATGTTCATCTTTTTTTATGTCCAAGATTGCCATGGTTCTATTGAGAAGCTAATAGAAAACTAACAATGCATAAATGCAAATCAAAGCCCACAACGGCTAGCACACCCATAGAAGCAAATCTAGAAATACATCAATGATCAAACTAAACCTAGAGCTTAATCCAGTTGGTGTAAGCAACCACCGGTAATAGGTGGTATTTCGCAGGGTCTGGAAATCGGACCCTGGAAATTGGGACACCTTTACCTATTCTCAGGCTGTGGCCTCGTACCAAAAAGAAATACAAGAAACTCTAGAGAGTAGTCTCAGCTATCAGTTACACTAAACATAACAACTCAACTCAGTTTCAATTATGTGAGAGAACATTTAGCAATCAGTGCAACAACATACTGAATCTTTATTTTCTCAGTAAAAATACCTACTTCTTTCTCGATCTCTATCTCGTTCCCTATCCTGCCCATAATCTCTATCTCGGTCGTAATCATAATCACGGCTGCGGTCCTTTCTCCTGTCCCTCTCTTTGCTTTGACTACGGCATCTTTCCCTATCTTCACGATCTCTGTTCTTGCTACTTTCTCTATCATCCCGTTCCCGTCCTCTATCTCTGCTTCTTTCTCTTCCATCCCTGTCAAACACACCTGCCAGGTAACCGCTTTTATCAAAACATGGAACACCAATATTATATCAGAGCATCAAAATAGAAATACGTTCCTCTATTCATCTAGTCATTTATTCAAGGTGTAAAACTAGCAAAAACATGCATATAATTTTCCTTCTATGCTCTTATTTACAATCTCATACTCATCTACACTGGTTAAAGCTAATTTATAAGATGCACAAAACAAAAGGCCAAGACATGATCGCTAAAACTAATACAGAGTCTCGCAACCCAAACTGAAGGGCCACATATCTTTCACATTCTATTTGATTAACTATGAAGCATAGCAACCCAAGTTGTGTTTACTTCCTTTATTTTGTTTGTAGGACATGATCACTAACACTAATATGGAGCCTAGCAATCCAAACAGAAGGGTCATATATATTTCACATTCTCTTTGAGAAAATAACCTAGACATGTATACCAATCAGTATCTTAAAACACATAATGCTTATATGAACCAGTTGTCAACATAATGATCCAAATACCTAGTTCCTCAACCTCCCAGCCAGCACGGCCTGAGCCTGGTAGAGGTCGTCCAGCTTCAGCTTGCTTTGTTTTTGCTCGGAACTTTTTCTTGAGATTTCCAAACTCATCATACATCTCACCATCATCCTGAAATTAAAGCATAATTACTAATCAAAAGTAAGATTCATGGTTAAGCTTCTAGTTATAATAATGGAGGTATATTTTACTTCTGCCTCTCGTCGACGTCGTCTCGTTTGCTCTATCTCTTCTTCATCAAGTTCCTTGTAACCACCACCACGTCCTCCTCTGTTAAGCACAAGTTTAACGTAAATTAAGAAGTATTGCGCAAAACCATAAGAATCGGAGAAAACATGGTCCAAAAGTTTGAGAACTGCAGTAAAATGGCATAAGCATCAAGCATTTCACTCCACCTTTTCATTAAAAAAAGCACAGTAAATGAGTCAAATCAATAGAACCGAGGAAACAAATCTAATGCATTGACAACAGAATTAATTTACTTGCTCAAGATTACTGTTGCAGCTATTAACAAGAATGAATATTCAGTACCAGTACCTACTCCAAAATGTCGATAGAGAATCAGTAAATACAGTTTACAAGGATTAGAATACACGATATGGAAGGATAGATGCAATTCAGATCGTAATAGAATAGGTAATCAGTTTTCTCTCCAAGTAGGCGAATGTGTATGTTACTAAATCTAAGAATCTTTCTGCTCCACATCCTGATATTAGGCTTAGGTAGCCAATCGCACTGCATGCATATTCTAGCATGATCAAATAATGGAAACTGATAGACAACCGCATAAAACAATTACTTTCCGCAAACAAAATTTTCAGTGGCACAGTTAATATATATAGGTTGTTTTCCAGACCATTGTTTGTTGTCCTGTAATCTTGAATAAAATTGTTAACCATAAAAAGGATGAACTACAGACAAATATAGGGATTAGGTGTAATGCAATTTCCTTTTATTATCCTCCTTCCAGTAAAGGGATTACTGTAGATTTTTTTGCCCTAAAAAAGGATCAGTAGGAAAAGGTAAAAATGTATTTCATTGAAAGCATAGCAACATTATAGCAACTTTACTTGAGGTGGACTGGCCGGATCAGATGGAAATGTTTCATAACTGATTAATAGTAACCCCGGCAACAACATCTATAATGTCTATGAAACATGGTTTGAATTTTCTTCAATAACAACTAAGACTCAAAAAAGTAACAACAACAACAACAACAAAACCCAATTCCCATATGTATGGGGTAAGGGGGAGGTAGGGTAGTAGGCTGCTCCCAACGCCAGGTTGAGAGTAGCTTCCGTGGAAGACCTCCGGCAGTCAGAAAATTAAAAATATAGATAAAATGCAGTGCATATATAAATAAATACATAGCTAAACAATATTCATATGCAGTCATTAAAATCATATGTGCGTCTGTAAAAGGATAACATATAGAAATCATGTTTTTGAGAGAGGAAAAAAATACGAGAAATGACTACCCAAAAACTAAAACAGAAAATGGCAAGATTATAAGAAAATGAATCGTTCGTACATAAATTAAAGGTCAAAATCACAGCAAGGGTTATCTCATAATAGACTGAAA